GACAATTAAGTGATTGACATCATGAGCAACGATCCATGCAGTTGGGATACGATCACATGCATCAACCAAATCAGCGAGCCTGACCACCCGATCCCGTTACTCGCCCCTTACGACAAGCATAGTCGCCTTTTATGGCAAGCATGGGTTGCTGAAGATCTATTCTACCCTGGATCTTCACGGGTCGAAAATACATTAATATATCCCAAACCAGTGGTGGCACGTGGTCCTATGCACAGCGTACATGTTACAATTGAGGTGTAGTTAATCCACGTTGGTTGCGGAGAGTCACTGGGTGGGTTACCGTGTCTGGCAGCTTGGCTCCGGGGAGATTCAAGGCCTTCGGTACTGCCCCACACTGAAGCACATATAATACATGTGGAGCCTCCTTGGGTAAATGACCTGTTCATAATATGCCTCTGTTCTATGCCTCACCCAACAGTGAATGGGTACCCGGTAGGATGAGTTAGAATGTAGCTGTTAACCTTCGACCGCCTCATAGACAGCAGGGGTTGTATACTCACCAGGGAGCTGAGAATAAAACCCGCGGTATGGTGTTCAGCTTGGAAACAGCGCTATACAAATGTACTATTATTATGAAACCATGTTGTTTTTTTCAGGATGTGTGTGTTGGGTTGTACGACCGGCTTCTTCCAGCCAGGATGTTCGGTTGCAGTACCAACAAAGCTTGCCAACAGCTCGTGCAAAGTCGGAGTTCCCATGGCAACCTGTTCGTGTTCTGTTGTTCAAGAAATCTCTGTAACTGGCACGCGTAAAATGTGATGATAAAAATAATGTCGACAGAATGGAGTTTTGCAGTCATTTATCACAGTATTCCTCGCAGTAAAACCACAACAATTTTTTTTGTTTCGGCCGATTGGCGCCACAAAGCGATGGTGAACTAGAACATATCATATAACATCATCGGACTTTATTATATTTGGCAGACCTCTAATTTTATGGATTAGAAAAAAAATAGTCCAGCGAATGTCAGCTATAACCATTCACATATTTGATCAGGTGCACTGTATAGAAAACCTAGCCAGTGCATGTAATGATGAAAGCATAACCTTCTATGATAGAAGTCAATACACATAAATGCTACTTTTAAAATAATAAAACATCGTCCACTTTCAGCAGAATCAAGTCTGATTTTCTTTTGAAATCCCAGGTGTCGCATTATTATCCCCCGCCACGGTGGAAGGGGATATAGGAATGGGTGCTGTCCGTTTCCGGAGCAGAACAAAATAACCGATCCGTGAAGATCTGGGGTAAAATAGGTCTTCAGCAACCCATGCTTGCCGTAAGAGGGGACTGTGTTTGTCGGAAGAGGCGACTAACGGGATCGGGTGGTCAGGCTCGCTGACTTGGTTGATACATGTCCTTGTATCCCAATTGCGTGGATCGATGCTTATGATGTCAATCACTGGATTGTCTGGTCCAGACTCGATTATTTACAGACCGCCGTCATATAGCTGGAATATTGCTGAGGGTGGCGTTAAACAACAAAAAACAACAAACAAACAAACTAAATAACCATGAGAGTTATCTTAATCAAACTTGGCACATAGATAGGTATAATGGTGAACTGGTGCATTTTAAAAGTTTGTGATTTTTGAAAAATGTATTGAAACGACTTTGACTTAGAGTTAAAGTGGCGGTAGTGCTCGTTTCCGGAGGGCTTATACCATTGCACACAACCGGACATGTCATATTGGCGGGGGAAATGTGTATTTCATGCTTGTTAAAACCATTGGTTTGTCAGCACCATACCTGTCCTCGTCATCTTAAAGTCCAGTTTCCACATCTTCCCGAGGCAAGGGAGTTAACTGACTATAAAGTCCAGTCTCCGCCCTCGAACTTGGCTGCAATTATCGAGTTACATATATGTCAAGACTAACGAGTTTATGCATAGTCCAATCAAAATCGCATAACGAACGAGACATCCGGTCCGTTTACAACAGGAATTTCAACGTGCAGATTTCGGTCGACTGCAGGATTTGCAAAGCATGTGTTCCACCAACTGGGCATCGACAGAAATTTTGTAAATTCTTTCATGCTTTTAATCAAGGTGCTCACGCGATTTGATGAACGTCGCGGGATAAGACCCGTTTTATAACAATATAGATCTTGATTATCGAGCAGATCGTCTTGACTGGGCGCCGCCCGTCTGTGATATGAGAGATGGAATCTGACTGGTCAGTAGGAGGAACATAGAAGGGACATAACTCGTAATAGCCACTGGTGGCGCGACTTTCGAGCCTTGAACTTCCAGCTTAGGTCGGCAACGGTGGAAACTGGACTTTTATAGTCAGTTAACTCCCTTGCCTCGGGGAGATGGTCCTCGTGGGTCTGACACATTACGTATTGGAGAAAACACGCTCACGAGGTTTTGGTAGACAGAGCATGCCCTGGGGAGAGTTTTTCCCGACCCCCAGGGCATGCTCTGTCTACCAAAACCGAGGGAAAGTGTTTTTCCATACTTATAAACCGAAAAAAGAAACTTAAAACAACATTTTATCAACATTTTTATCTTTAGAACATACTTTCCATGAACCTTAGGAAACGCTCGTAAAATATCTATTGCTGGCGTACGGATCTTGAAAAGGACATTCTAAAAACCAGGGAGGCTTATCTGTAGCCTCGTGCTACACTCACTGGGCTACAGATATGAAGGTTGCAAGTTCGATCCTCTGGAATATAAACAAAACATTTGTCATTTGATTTTACATGTCATTACATGTTACAATCTGAACGGAAGTTACATTAATAAAATCCCTGAGATTTTATAGCAAATATGACATGAATATCCTATAAAATCCCTGGGATATTATATAAAATCCAAACATTACAACGTCCCTGTTTATGAGATTTAGCCCGACTGGAAAGTAAAACCTCACAATAGGTTTGAATGCCTATAGAAAGAAGTATCTTACTCAATAGAGATCCCAATGAATAGGTTTATAAGGTGACTGAAATACTGTTCAAATGAGTGACTGAGTGAGTGAGTTTGGTTTTAGAAGTATACCGGAAACACCAAGGTGAAGGACAACCGAAATGGGATTCACACATAATAACCCCCCGGGGGGAGGGGCAAGCGAACTGGCCTTGGGCCACTAGGATTGTTGGTGAAACACCTTAGTCCTCCATGACGATTGTTTATACGGGTCAGACGTGGTCTAATGGTAGAGCATCTGCCCGGAGAGCGGAAGGGGTTCAATTCCTGGCCGCGTCATACCAAAAGACGTTAAAAGATGGTACTTGTTGTTACCCTGTATGGCGCTCGGCTAAAACAAGCTCGGAGTGAGTACACTGTGTCTGAGTGGGTATTAATGTTAAACTGCGTCATGGTATCTCAGTGTGCTAGCACTATAATCTCGGCATCAGTCCGGACTAGTACAAGCAGCTAGACACACACGTGCATGCACGTCGCTATATAAGTGCAATAATGTTGGACGCGACGTTAAACCCCATTTCACCTCACCACATTGTACGGGACAAACATTGAATCTACAAGGGAACGGCGGAAGTCAAACATAACACGGAAATAATGACACCAGGAGAGACCATAAAGATTAATTTATTAGCAATGAAATCGTCGCATGGCACAGACAGTTTTTGGACATATATAAAGCGAGATTAAAAAATACAAAATTATTCACGAACATGTTTTGTTGTACATACTTGTGTCCAAGGTAATTTTAGCGCCTTAAAGACCGGCGGTAATTGTTGTTAATTACCAGGTTATAGCAAGTCGCGTACCTCTTCTTCTGAACTACGGTAATCCCCTCGTTCTTGGTGCTGACTGTCTGGGATGGGCGAGAGGTACAATGTCAGCACTCGAGGACCTTGGACCTATTACCGTAGTTCCTCCAACAAGCACAAAGAGTGATCTTCGTTTAACAGCTTTTATTCCAACTTTGTGTTGCCGGTCAACCCACTCTAGTTGTCACTTAAATACGAGACTTCGGCCGCAAAGTTCCAGTCTCAGTCGAAATGCTGGTGCCTAAGCTTGGTTTCTGGTTCGAAAGATCGTGACAACAAGCCGACCGGCACCAGTCCAGATGTAGTCTCCCCAGCAGCTCCTAGCCGTTTTCTCGATTTGGGGCGTTTGCCCCTTTTTAAACCGGTACCTACGTCACAGCTCTACTCATCTTTCCATCTATCATTGGTCAACCACCTTTTCCCCCTACACTAGATCATTCTAACCCACTCTTATCTAATAACCAGCACCATATTCGGACTTGTTATGATGTTTCTCACCCTTTTGGAATTGGAACTACCGCCCCCCCACCCAATACCATATACGTCTCAGGTCCCTAACATCTCCGTTCCATTTTTTATCTACTTCCCATCTGGTTAATCGTCTTTCATTAATGTATAACCCTCCACCTACTATACCCTCACCCCTGGTTATTCGTGTCCAAGTATGTTCCCCGTAGTCTTCAACTATCAGAGTTGCCCGTCTCCTATATATATATCAATGTGTTATGTTCATATCTTACTGGTTTCAACTCCTCTTCTTGACCTTTTTACACAATCACGTAGGTGTCTTAATGAATTGTTAATTACTTTAACTAGTTGTTAATTTCTGTACTTTTATGCCTATAATGCGACCCCCCGTTCTGGCGAAGAGTGTGTCCCCACACTCTAAGATGGTGCCAATTCTTGATATAATATCTGGTATACATTCCTTCTTAACTTTATGACTTATTGATTTAACTTCCCTTTTATTATCTAAATATGTATTGCTCTTTCATGCCTATAATACGACCCTCGTTCTGGCGAAGAGTGTCCTCACACTCTAAGATGGTGCCAATTCTTGTTATAATATCTGGTATACATTCCTTCTTCACTTTATGACTTATTGATTTAACTTCCCTTTTATTATCTAAATATGTATTGCTCTTTCATGCCTATAATACGACCCCCGTTCTGGCGAAGAGTGTCCTCACACTCTCAAGTCGTGGGGATCCAGGTTGGTTCACTTTTTGAATCTGGAATGCTTTGGTTGATAACCATCGTGACCATAGGCTGGTTGACCGTGGACAGATTCACAGAGTCATTGTTCAATATACATTATACATACAATTTCAATATATGTGGAACATTAATATCTCCACATCGGTTTAACAACAACGTTAACATGTTCAATGCCTAAACCGAAACGACTAATCAAGAAGGTGAGTGAGTGAGTATGGTTTTACGCCGCTTTTAGCAATATTCCAGCAATATCACGGCGGGGGTCACCAGAAATGGGCTTCACACATTGTACCCATGTCGGGAATCGAACCCGGGTCTTCGGCGTGACGAGCGAACGCTTTAACCACTAGGCTACCCGACCGCCCCACCAAGGAGGTAATTAATTTTATTGTAACATTGATATCATTCTCATAACGAGATGTTACATCACCACATCGACACATATGTTATGCTTAATGTAATTACAACTATAGATACTACTTCTATAATAACAGTAAATAAACACTTCTAATACAAATATATCAATTCACCTGTAACGAAACTCTTCTAGTTCAACTAAAATCAATTCATATGTAGTAACACTTCTTACTACAAATATTATCAATTCCTAAGTAACACGACACTTCCAATACAAATAAAAGCAAGTTACCTGTAACAAACACTTCTAGTACGAATATCACTTCGTATGTAATAACAACATTTCTACTATAATAATTTCTAAAACAATTAACGGAACAATATAAGTGGATTGTAACATCTTGATGGTCCCCCTCCAGTTACATGTAACTCCCCTTGAACGATTACTTTAGTCGCAATTAGACTATTTTGACTATCGTTTTGTCTTTTTTTTAATTCCTTTTTTTTAAATATATATTTGGGTTCCCGATTCGACCGGACTGATCGTTAACTATTTGAATTGAATGTGCGTCCCGGTCCACTGAAACTCGTCCCAAAAGGTCGAATTTTGGGGAGGGTAAAATAGGCGTATTTGCGCCGCTCTCGTCTCCATTAAACTGCATTGTAGCGGAAGTACGAGGCGTTTTGTCACGTCTATTACTGCCTTTGAGAGTTCCATTGGGGGGGGGGGGGGGGGGGGGGGCAGTTGCGTGGTCGTACTCGCACCGACGTTGGCCTGAAGCAATTAATGAACGTCATGACGTCGAATCTATTTAGTGCCCCCGCGTCAGGGGTTACTGTACGGTAGGATATGCCGGACAGTTTCAAAAGGGCGACAGCTAACTCCGCATGCTGCACCCGACGGCACCATTTACAGAACGTTATTGGTGGGAAATTGGTTCCCGAATCCGCAAGCGGAAATCTTTCATCCGTACAAAGGTACGCCCGATTGCCACGTCAGCATCAGGTACGCCTAGCTTGGTACTGTTTCATCTGGTAAGCTCTGGTGGTCGTGCAAAATACATACTTAGTGAATATTCATAGATATTGGAATGACGAATATTAATGATATTTGGCATTCAGTATTCTCGTCAACATATACTTATAATCCGTCAGCTATTCATATGTGAACACAATGCCTGTTCCTTCAAACTTTCGGTCTATGACGTCATCGAATCTTTCGTTTTTAGCAACTGTTATCCAGTTCTTCCAATCCCCGACTTCACCTGAAACAATAACACATGAATCCACAAGTACTTAAGTAAGTAATACAGGATAAACTTCCTAAGTAAGTACAACAGGATTAAGTTCCTTAGTAAGTAATACAGGATTAAGTTCCTTAGTAAGTAATACAGGATTAACTTCCTTAGTAAGTACAACAGGATTAACTTCCTTAGTATGTAATACAGGATTAACTTCCTAAGTAAGTAATGCAGGATTTACTTTCTAAGTGAGTAATACAGGATTAACTCCCTTAGTAAGTAATACAGGATTAACTTCCTTAGTTAGTAATACAGGATTAACTTCCTGAATAAGTAATACAGGATTAACGTCATTAGTAAGTAATACAGGATTAACTTCCTAAGTAAGTAACACAGGATTTACTTCCTTATTAAGTAATGCAGGATTAACTTCCTAAGTAAGTAATACAGGATTTAATTCCTTAGTAAGTAATACAGGATTAACTTCCTAAGTAAGTAATACAGGACTTAATTCCTGAATAAGTAACTCAGGATTAACGTCATTAGTAAGTAATACAGGATTAACTTCCTAAGTAAGTAATACAGGATTAACTTAATTAGTAAGTAAAACAGGATTAAGTTCATTAGTAAGTAATACAGGATTAAGTTCATTAGTAAGTAATACAGGATTAAGTTCATTAGTAAGCAATACAGGATTTACTTCCTTAGTAAGTAATACAGGATAAACTTCCTAAGTAAGTAATACAGGATTAACTTCCTTAGTAAGTAAGACAGGATTAACTTAATTAGTAAGTGATACAGGATTTACTTCCTTAGTAAGTAATACAGGATTTACTTCCTAAGTAAGTAATTCAGGATTAACTTCCTGAGTAAGACATACAGGATTAACTTCCTTAATAAGTAATACAGGATTAACCTAATTAGTAAGTAATACAGGATTAACTTAATTAGTAAGTAATACAGGATTAACTTCCTTAGTAAGTAATACAGGATTAACTTCCTAAGTAAGTAATTCAGGATTAACTTCCTGAGTAAGTAATACAGGACTAACTTCCTTAGTAAGTAATACAGGATTAACTTCCTGAGTAAGTAATACAGGATTAACTTCCTGAGTAAGTAATACAGGATTAACTTCCTGAGTAAGTAATACAGGATGAACTTCCTGAGTAAGTAATGCAGGATTAAGATCCTAAGTAAGTAATACAGGATTAACTTCCTTAGTAAGTAATACAGGATTAACTTCCTAAGTAAGTTATACAGGATTAAGTTCATAAGTAAGTAATACAGGATTAACTTCCTTAGTAAGTAATACAGGATTCACTTCCTGAGTAAGTAATACAGGATTAACTTCCTAAGTAAGTAATACAGGATTAACTTCCTGAGTAAGTAATACAGGATTAACTTCCTTAGTAAGTACAACAGGATTAACTTCCTTAGTAAGTAATACAGGATTAACTTCCTTAGTAAGTAATACAGGATAAGTGTAAGACCTGTGAAATCACCACAGTTTTGTAACAATTTCGTCTTACGGATAAGGGGTGGGCGAGTGTGCTTACTGCGCGAAATACTCCAGTCAAATATGACACAACATAAAAAGACAGTAATAATAGTGTAATAAAGTGTCAGAAAGTTACAGGGTGCAAGTCCTGGCCGCACAGTCTGGAAAACACCTAAAACAAAATGAGCAGGGCTATCTGGCGATGTTGGTGTCCAGGCAGTGCAGGCAGAAAGAGCTTATGAAATATATTTAAAAGAATCAACAACAATCCAACTGATATTCGGGATGTGATGATAATACTTATAGGAGAAAACGATACTGTTAAGGACTATGCAAACGCATTATTGATACAAAAAAAGCATATGTGCATAAATAAATACACAACGACAATGATTGTTCACAGAAATGAGATTAACTAATAATCCCCCAATATAATCATCACATCCTTTCTACCATATAGGATACATATAAGATCCCACCTGACGTGAGGTGAAAGTCACTTTAACAGCGGCCAATGGAAATTTTGGAAACATACATTTAAACCCAAAATGAGGGAATATTTATCCCAGCGCATTTGGCATATGATGTGCATGTATATAAAACCGGTTTAAACACGCAATACTAATAACCACGACAGGACACCTGGCCTGTACTAGAAAGGTGGCTAAGAGGGGTGGGATATGACTGCCTGTTGGATGATCGTACCAGTCCATATGGGGCTAGCTCCAACAGTATGTCAATACACCCCGTAGGTAAGCCACGTGAGGCTACCCAGAATGAATGCCCAATTTATGCAAATGTATTAAAAAGGAATGTAATAAATGGATATTACGTAATATATATTACTCAAATTGCAGGCAAATTGTTGGCCATATAATATAATACATTATATTATTATTGAATACAAGGTGACTTCACTATCACATCAAGTGGGAAAACGCAGTGAAATTACTTTACAACACCCATCCGACAATGTAGAAATACTACATATTTAATAGGACAGGCTTGGTATTTAATAAACTGGGTATTTTCATATTTAGAAGTTGGTAATGTTAAGCCTGTTGTCATCATGTAGGATTGCGTACCGCAAGACGCCAAGAGAACAAGAAAGTTACCATCTGCCGGAAATAGCCAAAGCTTGGAATGAACACTAATCTCGAATTGCCTGATAATTTATGCCATATATATTCACTGGTACGTGTTACTATTACTTCACAGACATTAGGATAGGATGACATTACTGAATAGTAGGCCAAACTGTGTTAAGGTAAACATGAAGCAGACGACGGAGCCATGCCTTGTTTACATCCGGTGCGGCCATTTTGTGATGCAACCGGAGGAGAGCCGGAGAGTGCCGAGGATAGCCGAAGATAATGTGTGCTGCCCAGCGCAAAGGTCAAGCGTTGTCAGTGAGGGGTCAGCCACTAATTACTTCCAGATGACACCAGGGTTTTTTAACTGATCACATGGCTTGGGAAACGATGACCAGTGATAGCCATTTTTTAATTTAAAATAAACTTGCAACAGAGATCTGTTGTTGTCAGCAACAAGTGCATTTATCAGACGAAAGAATTTGGAATAACTGTAACTTTGAATTAAGCAATGAGCTAGTTTTCAATTTTGACTGGGCGATCTAATTAGCAAAATTACTTCCAAACACAAAAGGTATCTTACTAAAGCTATTTTCAAACGAGAAAATAATGCAACAAATAAATGTCATTCATTATTGCCATTGAGTGCTACTTTGGACAGTCAAAGATGAGCGACGTTTGCCAGTTTGGCACAGCAAGAATGACTTGGACAATGGCCAAACACTTGTTTTGAATTTTGCTTGACTTTATGAAAATAAATGCAACACATTCTTAGTCCTGTAAATGTTATAACTATGCACTGGACCATACCATAATTGCATACAATAGACCTAAAGTTGCCAGAAAGAGAAACTGGGGCTCTTACCTAAAACAAAATGAACAGGGCTATCTGGCGTTGTTGGTTTCCAGGCAGTGCAGGCAGAAAGAGTTTAGGGGTCCGACGGTGGCACTGGCCCCTGTCATGTGAACAAATAGCCCCAGGCTATTGGCTAAGAGCTGTTGCTATGGGACCCATGAGAACAGTGCCGTGAACCCCAAAACCCTATTCTAAAATTAGTAAATTGGCAAGATATTTAAGTAACTGGTGTAAGGAACCTGGGCAAAATATCCAGCCTTTACACTAGTAATACAGGATTAACTTCCTAAGTAAGTAATACAGGATTAACTTCCTAAGTAAGTAATACAGGATTAACTTCCTAAGTAAGTAATACAGGATAAACTTCCTCAGTAAGTAATACAGGATTAACTTCCTAAGTAAGTAATACAGGATTAACTTCCTCAGTAAGTAATACAGGATTAACTTCCTAAGTATGTAATACAGGATAAACTTCCTCAGTAAGTAATACAGGATTAACTTCCTAAGTATGTAATACAGGATTAACTTCCTAAGTATGTAATACAGGATAAACTTCCTAAGTAAGTAATACAGGATTAACTTCCTAAGTAAATAATACAGGATTAAGTTCCTTTAGTAAGTAATAGAGTATTAAGTTCATTAGTAAGTAATACGGGATGAACTTCCTTAGTAAATAATACAGGATTAAGTTTATTAGTAAGTAATAGAGTATTAAGTTCATTAGTAAGAAATACGGGATTAACTTCCTCAGTAAGTAATACAGGATTAACTTCCTAAGTAAGTAATACAGGATTAACTTCCTAAGTAAGTAATACAGGATAAACTTCCTAAGTAAGTAATACTGGGTTAACTTCCTAAGTAAGTAATACAGGATTAACTTCCTAAGTATGTAATACAGGATTAACTTCCTAAGTATGTAATACAGGATAAACTTCCTAATTAAGTAATACAGGATTAACTTCCTAAGTAAATAATACAGGATAAAGTTCATTAGTTTGTAAAAGAGTATTAAGTTCATTAGTAAGTAATACGGGATTAACTTCCTTAGTAAATAATACAGGATTAAGTTCATCAGTAAGTAATAGAGTATTAAGTTCATTAGTAAGAAATACGGGATTAACTTCCTCAGTAAGTAATACAGGATTAACTTCTTAAGTAAGTAATGCAGGATTAACTTCCTAAGTAAGTAATGGAGGATTAACTTCCTTAGAAAGTAATACAAGATTAACTTCCTAAGTAAGTAATACAGGATTAACTTCATTAGTAAGTAATAGAGGATTAAGTTCATTAGTAAGTAATACAGGATTAACTTCCTTAGTAAGCAATACATGACCAGGTCGTAAATAAGTTATACACTAAGGACCTACTCTGACCCATGTGTGTCCTCTCAACAAGATATATATAATACTTGGGACCCATTCTGACCCATGTGTGTCCTCTCAACAAGTAATATAATAATTGGGACCTACTCTAACCTGCCGGGTCCTCAAAACAATCAATAAAATACTTGGGACCTACTCTAACCTGTCGTGTCCTCAAAACAAGCAATATAATACTTGGGGCCAACTCTAACCTCTCG